GATCTTCGGATACTGAGATAGTAATCTATCAGTTTTTTTTCATAGGTATATAGTCCAGAGTGTCCTCTGCGAAATGGGAACTGAGCGGACTCTTAATTTGTCTTGGCTTAGGTGTGGCATCGGAGTTTCTGAGAGTCCAAGGATCAATATTTCTTTAGGTGTGGTAATTCCGAAAACGAATGAAAACATAGGTAATCAACCACGCTGAATCTCGTGGTAACATTTATTTTTCAAATAAGTTCCAAAAACCTAGTGATAAAATAGAATAGATCTTGATGATCTGATATAATTTGGATGGGTTTTGACTGAGTTATGAATTTTTTAATTTTACTCAAAAAAATAGGCAAAATGGGTTATTTCACCGCATCTAGGTTTTCACTAGGTTTTTGGAACTTATTTGAAAAATAAATGTTACCACGAGATTCAGCGTGGTTGATTACCTATGTTTTCATTCGTTTTCGGAATGAGAGGATATTTTACTTTCACTATCTTCTCTAATATTGAAGCTAAGTTCACAAGAGCTGGGTCTTAGAGGTTTTCGAGCATGCTGAATCTAATGGTATTATCAGTTTTCTCGGCTCCCATACTTCATAATGACATTCCAGAAAATCGATTTTTCAGCGATGAGGTTTTACGGGGCACTTTTTTCCCAGAACAGTCTTAGACATCGAAGTCAAACAACCATGTAGGTCTTGTAGAGCGTACTTCTTTTATCTAAAAATTATTGTGGAAAAATTTTGTGTTATCTCAGGCCGCTTCTGCAAACGAATTTTTACGGAAAACGCAAGGCTTTTGGAAAACCTTTTGCAGAGACCAAGCGTTCTACGACAAGACCTTGGCCTTTTCTGCATTCGTATTGGAAAAGCATGGCTTACAAACGTATAAGGTCACCAATACATGCCCCCTAACTAGGGTTTACCAGGGGTATTCTAGAAAACCTTTACGGATTTGTATTCTATATGCTTCTAAAATAATGTATCTTGAAGCCTGACAGGTTAATTCGAACCTCTAGACTGTCCTCTTTAAAGCTACACAAGTCCCGGATTTTTACCCCCCATGGTTCGGAAGTTATAGACATTTTCCGAGGACCTACCTATCGGTTTAACTTCATGTTTGGGAGCTTTCAAAACACATGGAACATAAGTTATCGACCACGCTGAATCTTATGGCAATGTTTGTTTTTCGAAAAAGCTTAGCAGCCTAGCGAAAATCTTTACTTGACGACATAATCCATTTTTCACTATGTTCGCCGAAGATTAAAAAATTCATAACTCAGTCAAAATTCCCTCAGACTGCTTCAGAATATCAACATCTACCCCATTCTATGTGCTTCACCGTATTTTTGGTAGCAGAAATGAGTACGAAACATGCTCCTCATGCCTAAAACTTTCTTGAAAACGTTTCAGAAACCACAGTACTTTCTGTTGATTTTTAAAACTATTATGGAAGTTCATGGTGTAGCACAGATAAAATTGACTATATGTTGATAGTCTGAAGCAGTTTGAGACAATTTTGATTGAGTTATGAATTTTTTAATTTTCGGTGAAAATACTGGAAAATGGATTATTTCACCAACTAAGATTTCATGCAGGTTTTTAAGCATTTACAAAAAACAAACATTACCATAAAATCTGAGACTTGTGCAGTTTTAAAGAGGACAGTCTAGTGGTTCGAATCAATCTGTCATAATTCAAAATCCATTATTTTAGAAGCATATAGAATACAAAATCCATAAAGGTTTTCTAGAATACCTCTGAAAAACCCTTAAGTTAGGGAACATGTATTGATGACCTTATACGTTCGTAAGCCATGCTTTTTTCATACGAATGCAGAAAAGGCCAAGATTTTGTCGTAAAACGCTTGGCCTCTGCAAAAGGTTTTCCAGAAACGCTGGGTATTCCGCATAAACCGTTTCTAGAAGTCGCCTGACACAATACTAAATTTTTCCACAATAATTTTTAGATAGAAGAAAGTACGCTCTACAAGATCTATATGGTTGTTTAGTATCTGAGGCTATGCTAAGAAAAAAGTGCCCCGTAAAACCCCAGTGCTCAAAAATCGACTTTCTGGAATCTCATTATGAAGTACGGGGGCCGGAAAAGCTGATAATGCTGTTAGATTCAGCATGCTCAAAAACCTCTAAGACCCAGCTCTCCCGAATCTACTGCTTCTGGATATAACGCTGTAAGCAAATCTGTCAACTGAAAAATCCTCTCATTACCACACCTAAAGAAATATTGATCCTCGGACTCTCAGGAACTCCGATGCCACACCTAAGCCAAGACAAATTAAGAGTCCGCTCAGTTCCCATTTCGCAGAGGACACTCTGGACTATATACCTATGAAAAAAAACTGATAGATTACTATCTCAGTATCCGAAGATCCAAACTGGTTTTCTAATAACTACCTAGAAAACCGATCTTTCGAATATTTTTCGAAAAGGATTTTGCTTAAGAAAACATAGGCAAAACTGTTTTCTTTCGATTGCTGAAAACGCCAGATCTAGTTATTCAAAAAGCGCCAATAGCGTGTCTCGTGTACAAAGAGTTAGCGTTTTCTCAAAATCGATTTTTATGCTAGTGGTCAAACGTCGAGCAAATTTTTTTACAATATACTTCATTATAAAGATGTGCGGTTTTCTTTATTTATTGGGGCACTCGATACTCCTTCGGATGAGGGGAAGGAATTTTTTAATTAGGCTCTAGTTCTGTAGAAAACCGCGTCGGTCTGGAACACCTCTGATGGTATTTCAAGGTTTTAGAGGTTTCAACGCTCCCCAAAATTAAAGAAAGCAAGAATAAAAAAGTCCCTTTCCCTCATCCGAAGGGGTAAACAGTTTTCCTTCAAATAAAACAACCCCGGGTTCTCTACCTTGAAGTATAGTGAAAAAGAATTTGCACGGATAGAGGGCCCATTTTGAGCCTTGGTCTTAACATTTACAATACATACTTCCATCACTTTACTGCAAACTGACGCAGATCCGAGACCTACAACTTATATAGGGACTGGGTGGAACTCATTTTCCGAAGAGTCTCTTACTTTCTTCCTGTGACATGCAGGAGTGAGAAAATCACACGGAAGCATAACTTATCAACCCTCCTGATCATCACGGTGATGTCTGTTTCGTTATCAATTAGAAACTTATGTTCGGTCATAAAATCGTTTTTTGCGATCCTCAAACGGAAAATGCAGAGTTATCAGTCACTGTAACTACAGGGTTAGAGAGGCAACAGACATCACCGTGATGATCAGGAGGGTCGATACGTTATGTTTTCGTGTGGTTTTCCAACTCCTGCATGTCACAGGAAGAAAGTAAGGGACTCTTCGGAAAATGAGTTCCACCCAGTCCCTATATAAGTTGTAGATCTCGGATCTGCGTCAGTTTGCAGTAAATGATATCAGCGATTATTATTCGAATAATGATGAAAATTATTTCACAATAAATCCAACAAATTGGTCTGGTATGCGGACTTTTTTCGTATTGGATAACTGAGATGGAAGTTTCCAGAACGAGGGTTTGTCTGCGGTTTTTCGTGTAAAATAATGCGGAATAGACTTGCGAAATCTGAGCAAAAAACTGTGCGAGTTGATGAGTTTGAATCATTACAAAGTTAAGGGTGTAACATAATGATAGTTAGACTTGCTAATATTACTAAATCGATCCTTACTTAATGATAAACGATAGAACAAATTTTTCTTTCTTCGTTTTGTTTTGGTTTCAAAAGAAATGAACCGATGCCGCTTCTATTCGATAAATTGGATTAGGTTGAAATTTTGTGCTTTTGAAACTTGAACCTTTTTATATCATCGCATATGGTAACGAGCATGTGTATCGAAGAGAATACTTTATTTGCCTTCATATTCTGAATGTAAATATGTGCTATACTCACATTTCAGATGAAAATTTCATTGACAAACATGGATTATAAAATAAAATTTGAGCAGTAAAAAGTAAACGCCGAGGTTTTCATTCTTATATTCTGCTAATAATTACCGAATACACAGGAAAATGGTTTCACATCTTTTTGGAAAAACTGGAGAAACTCTTGTTTTTTGTCAAGCAAAGAACGAGAAATCTGCATAAATCTGATGGTAGATCCTTTTTGTTTTCTGCTCGAAAACAGTTCCATAAGTATTGAAGATATATTTTTATTCGATTTTAAGACAGTTTGGGACTTTGCTTACTAAAATTAGAGTAGTTCTTTGACAATAGACCACCAATCAACCACCTGTCAAACGTTATCTGTAGGATAAGCTGAAGATGTTTTCTGCACGTTCTTCCACTATACTACTTAGTAGATATATGATGAAATAGTCCTAAAATTCTTGGATTTAACCACTTTAAGATATCATTTTTTGTAGAATGATAAGACTGAGCATTGGCTATTCTCTAGTTATCTCGAAAGTAAATAGAAACATAAGTTATTGTTCACTTTGATTCTTGTAGCAATGTTTGCTTACAATGAGTTATCACGAAATCTATCCTATTTTGAGCTAACTTATAAGCATGCAAAGATAAAAGTTTATATTTCAGTTAAAACAGTATAACTGACGAACGAAATTCACCAAGTGACACTCCAACTTTCCATGCAACATACTTGATTATGGGTAATTCTTGATTAAGTAGGAAAATAATTAGTAGATCACTATTGCAAAGATCATTCTTGATTTTATTCAAAAATCATCTTTGTGAATTTTTAGTTCATATAATCTAACAAAAGGTGGTGACTGGTTAATCAAGCACTATGATGACAAAAATATTCTACTATTCCATCGTCAGGAGAATAACCGTTTAATCACAGATACTATCACGCAAATATCTTTTCAAAAGTTTTCATTCATTTCAATGAATTCATACACGTGATTAATAATCGATGAAAAATAGCAGTCTATTTTCAAAAGCTTTCAATAAAAAAACCAATGATGAAACAGTAAAAATGAACGCTATAAACAAAAACACCAAATTAAAAGAATGCTTGCATCAAATAAAGTTTCCATTCTTTTGATATATTCATCATAACGTCAGTTTTTATAAAACCCTTGACACTATACACTAGATAAGATGGACAAAACACTGCTCTGTCAAATAGCAAAAGTGACCGATTTTGAATATCACCTTCTGTGGCAGCATCCACCGGTCGGATCTCCATGGTGAATAACGACCAGTTTTGTTTTCCCAAAACAATTGTTGTATAAGGTACTATACAGGGGTTTCCAGTTAGGTTGAATTCGGTTCTTGATAAAACAAGACCAGGACGTATCTTCTTATCGCCATCTAACGGTGATTTCATATAAACAATGGTACCTTGGGATAAGGATTGTCTAAACGTATAAAAAAAAATCTTCTATCACCCACCAAGTAGATATTATAATTTTTTTTTTAATTTAGAATACCCACGAAAATGCTGTATCATTGGAAAACGTGATGTGGAGTAAATCGGTTTTGACACAGCTATTTGTTCTTCATTAAATTCTTTTAGTTCTTCCCATACACCACCATCTATTAAAGGAGAATCATCTCCATAATCAACCTAAATGAGAGCAGAAACAAGTATAATTAATTGAAACCAGAAACTTTTCTTTTCTATCAACTCACCCAAACTTGAAATTCTTCATCCCATATTAAGTCACCTTTAATCAGATCAATTGTTTCGAATTTATCTTCACCATTCATATATTTACCAGAAGCTTGTTCAACCCATGTAGACATCATGGCGGAAAGTATAACGATTTGAGGTTTAACTTTAACTAAAGAAAAACCGAACATAATAAAGACAAAAGCGCAATAGCTCAATAATCATAACATAATATCTAGGCATGTACCGATTTCGATTATGCTCGAAATCGAATATAATCCAAAATGTCTTACTCTAAGTGCAAAACGAAATTTTTCGTATGGCAAAATACTAAAGCAACGTAAGAGTTCAGATTACTTGCGTAAAGTGTAAAATGGAGTTAACATGGACAGCGGTTGTTGCGTGGTGACTAGGAATGCAACGGTAAAGGTTACCGTTTTACCGGTCTAACCGGTTTTTCCGTTACCGCTTTACCAGTTTTACCGTATCTTAGCGGTTTAACGTTCGATATGAATGGATAAGAAAATTTATTAGAAAGGGAGATTATTTAATGAGTGTATTGATCTTTTCTTTTTTGAAAGAAAAGTCAAAGAAGAAATAAGCCGTTAAAATATCCACATCAATACACTCGTTAAATAATCTCCCATTCTAATAAATTTTCTTATCCATTCATATCGAACGTTAAACCGCTAAGATACGGTAAAACTGGTAAAGCGGTAACGGAAAAACCGGTTAGACCGGTAAAACGGTAACCTTT